CTGCTGAAAGTGGCTTTTGAGCAGTCAGGTGATAACCTTCCAAAACGTAGCGTGCAATAGGGGAGTAAACTGGGACAAAGGAAGTGTGCAACTGTGAATGGACACCGTGGATACTGTGGTGAGAGCAGGTATAGGGGAGAAGGTATAGGAGAGTTTTTCCCATCAGACTTGGTAATTATGCCTGTTCATTGTTACTGGGAAAAAAATGCGGCAAAGTGGGCAAAAGGCAAAGTGCAAATCTGATCCTGGATGTGGTAGGAGTCCAGAGGGGCAGAGGAAGGTGCCCTCAGCCACCCTGAGGCCCCACTGGCACCAGGATGCTGGGTGTGGCTCTGGAGGATTTACCTGGAGAGGGATCCAAACAGCTTCCTACTTCCCACCCAGCGGGGATTAGCCCTCTCCTATGGCTCATCCTGGCCACTGGGAAAGGTACCTGAGATGTTACCAGATCTCTCCAGCCAGCCCTGCCAAGTGTAGGAACCTGGAGGGTGGGCTGTCAGCTGGGCAGCCATGGCAAGGGAAACAGATCCTGATGCTGCTTGTAGGTCTTGCAGGCGCCATGGGGCAGGAGCAGGTCCTGGGTGGGAGGGACTTCTTGGTGAATTTTTATGTCCAGTGGGGGACCCTAAAATAAGCTTTCAGTAAAAACGTGCACCCGCATGTTGGGAAGGGTAGATAAATATGATTAAGAACCACAATAGTACAGCCAGGACAAATATAACGCTCCCTACTGGCTGGACAATACCCTCACTTACAGATAGGTCCAAAAATGGACTGTTCCATCTCAACCCCCAAAATCTATGGTTTACCCCACACCTGTAACCCTCCCCTGAAACATCAAGTGTCTGTGACCCCATTGGTCCTAGTCCTGTTCCAGCCCACCTTGGAGTCCCCCTTGATAAGGGGTCTCCAGGGGGCCGGATGCCCTCTTGGATCTTCCCCTCTCTTGGATCTTCCCTTCTCCTCCTGGAACTTCCTCCGGGAGTCCCTGCTCCCCTCTTTGTCTCTCCTCTCCCCCATCACCTCAGGCCCAGCCACGTGCTGTGTCTGGCAGCTCGAGGCAGGGCCACAATGCATCCTGAATAAACCTCATCCCCCAAGAGCAACCACAGAGATCTCGCTTATATTCACCCCAATCCGTCCGTGGAACCCCCCATCAACGTCTTTACACCCGCATTGCTCTGAATCAGCACCGTCATTGTGAGGGGCAAACGAGCAGTGGGGAAGCCCCAGCAGTGCCCCGAATTTGTGCCAGGGAGGAAAACTAGACTCCCAGGTGCCACAGGAAGTGGAATCCAGGATCTCCTGTTTACTAGACAGGTGTTTTGACCAGCTGAGCTGTGGCCCTCACCTGCCCCACTGCCAGGGGTGCCCCATGGCCACAGACACAGCCCTTCCTATGCCATCCCCATCCCGCTGCCAGCTCAAAAATAGTGTCACTCTGCAGGACCAATGGGTTGGGACTCCAGGGACGGGGAACAGCCCCCTGTGATGCTCCGTGTGCTAATCTAAGCTCAAAGCTCTGCGGGTATCGCTGTGGGGTGAACATGGATGAGTATCCCTGTGGGGTGAACATGGATGGGTATCCCTGTGGGGTGAACATGGATGGGTATCCCTGTGGGGTGAACATCGATGTGCGGGTCCTATTGGGCTCTGCACCGGCCAGGCGGTGATGCCCAAAAGAAGGGCTCGTCCGGGATTTGAACCCGGGACCTCTCGCACCCTAAGCGAGAATCATACCCCTAGACCAACGAGCCGGGGTGCAGGGCCTGTCCCGCGCCCCGCCCTCGCCTGGCCTGGCCGAGGGGTGAAGGCGTTGGAGTTGAAATCCAACAGGGATTCCCTCCGCAGGTTCGAATCCCCCTCACAGCCATGGGTTTTACCCAACGCCCTGGTACACCCAAGCCTAGGAAGAGCTTGATACAGGTGAGCGTCACGAACAGCCACACCGCCCTAAGCTCCACCCTTCTCCCTCTCGCGGGCTTCTCCAATATTTGCATAACAGAGGTGGAACATCCTGAGCATGCTGGGTGTATGACTCCTCATAACCCTGTCCCACATCTATGGGGGAGCAGTGTGCCCCGCCTGATTTGTCTGGGTGTGAGATTTGCGTTTTAAGTGCAAATGGTTCTGGATTCAACTGTTGGATGCATCTGCCTATTTGGCACTCAATACCCTCCTCCTTCTGAGCCCCATGGGGAAAGTTAAAAAAAGGCCTCCTATGTTCTGTATGTTCTGCAGCCTCCAGGCAGGGTAGGGAAAGAGCCACGGGATTTTTATGCAACCTTGCAATACTAGGACACAGCATCAAGCCTTTCCTGGGGAGCTCTGGCAGCCTTGCAACCAGCAGAGAAGTAGCTGAGAAGGCAAAAGGACATGAGAATGCTAAGGGTTGATCTGAGCCACATCTCCCTCCCCCAGCAGCATCTTACCACCGGTCCTTTAGAGTCTCTTTCCCACAGGGATGTACCCAGCCAGCAAGGGTCACCCTCAGCACTGGACATGGTGGGTGGCCAGAAGTAGAGATTGAACCCAGGACCTTTTAAGCACCCAAAGCAAGAATCATACCCCTAGACTAACAAACTGGGATATCCCCTTCTGTCTCCCACTCTACTTCTCCCAGACCTTGTTGGGGGTTTGGGGGCAGTTAGGGCTCTCTTTGGCCTCACATATTCTGGGAGCAGGGACGTGCCTCTTGCTGTAGCCATGAGATGCCAGATCCAGCACATCTCACTTACAGCCCCTCTTTTCTCTGTAAATGGCCCTAACCAGCCCTTGCAGCAGTTGCAATGGCCGGTGCTTTTTCTGCCACCTTTTGCTGTGGGGCATCCTGCAAAGGCGACTGCCTGTGAGCAGTGTTTGTCCTCAGTAGCAGCAAATGGCCGTGTCTGTGTGCCATGGGCTGTCCATGCGTGGGGTCCTGCGGTGCTGGGGGCAGGGGATAAGGGGGGAGAGCAGTGAGCAATGTGGGAAGTGTGAGTTAGTGCCGTGTGTGAGGTGTGCAAGAGCTGTAAAGGGTTGTATGGCTGCGTGTGCGTCGGGTCCCTGTGCAGGCAGGGCCCCGTGTGGCAGCGTGTGCATGGAGTGGCATTTTGCCTGGCAGCGAGGAGGTGTCCAGGATGTCCTGGGCACCCTGGCTCGTTGGTCTAGGGGTATGATTCTCGCTTAGGGTGTAAGAGGCCGCGTTCAAATCCCGGATGAGCCCTTTGTTTTGGACACCCAACGTCCCCCTGCCACCTGGCTGGTCCCCCCAGCACTGGTGATCACCCCAAGAGACACTGTGAGCACCGTGGGGAAGGGACTCTGGGTGCCTCCACACTATTCAGCACCTAGGTAAGGAGGGAGATCCCGGCAGGCATTTGCTTGCTGCCTGCCTTGGGGTGCCAAGGGGCAATCCCAGGTCAGACGTGCCCACAGGCAGCCCCAGGGATTTCTTGTGGGGCATCTGGGGAGTCTCTGGGAGCCCTGAATCCATCAGGGAGGTGTCTGGAGAGGCAAAAGGACATGGAGATGCTGGGTGTTGATTCCACGCCCCTTTGCATACAAATCAAGCACTCTCCTGCTGAGCTACATCCCCCCCTGTGCAATAGCGAGGGGAATTGGCCGAGTGCCCTCGCCCCACCCTGGCCCACGGCTCCAAACCCGACTGTCACAGGCTGCACTGCACTCTTCCCACTGCTGCTTCCAAGACGCTCCTCCTGGTTTAAGGAGGTGCCACCCAGAGCGCTGTGCCCATCGCTGCTCTGCAGGCTCTGCTTCCCGCTCTCCATCCCTGCCCTGGCTCCACCACATCCCACGGCTCGTGGGTGCTAAAAGAAGGGCTCGTCCGGGATTTGAACCCGGGACCTCTCGCACCCGAAGCGAGAATCATACCCCTAGACCAACGAGCCGGGTAACCTAAAATTAGGAGAAAATCCTTTTTTTAGGTCAAATACTTACAGCACTGCCTGGGGTGAGGTGGGATTTTTGGCGGTTCTGTTTGTCTCTGATAGATGGTCACCACAGAGAGGTCACCCTTGTTCTTCCCTGGCTGTGGGGATGTCACCTGGGCATATGTCGCAGGTTGCTCTGGAATGCCAGAAACTGGAATGGCAGAAACAACTCAAACAATGCTCTATTTCCCAAATAATCAGTGTTAAATGAAGAAAAAGCAGTCACACTGCTTTTGGTGTTGAATAAAGCTGAAACCAGCCTAACTCATCAACCTCAAATTTAAACATGCTGATAGTGAGATGAAGATATAGTAGATCTGGTAAAAGATCTGGATAAAAGAACACACAAGTACTGATAACTTTACTAAAGCTGTTGAGCTGGCACAGCTGGCCTGGACATACCTGTCTCACAGTCCATTCTTTTACGGTACAAAAATCCCAAATTTGAATGGCAGGGTTTTCTGACAGATCCTTCCTTGAAGTGTATGTGTGGAGATCCCCCCCTGGGGTGGAGACACTCCTCAAGGTCACTCCTTAAGGCTGAGCCCGAGAGATTTGTCCCCAGTCATTGGTTATTCTGTTAATAATTGGTTTTGGCAGCTTTAATATAGTTGCTTTAATATAATTGTTTCAATATTCCTTCACAGTGCACTATATTGCAATAGTTGTTAAAGCACCTATATTGTGTAGTAAGTAATTCTGACTAAGATTTTTTTTTGTCTAATCGTAATAAATCCTATGTATTTGTGTAAGTATTTATTTTAGTATTTATTTTCAATCCTGCAGGATAAAGCTGTACAGAGTTTCTACTACACCTATACAATATTTTAGAGATAAACTGCAAAATTTGGGGCTAAGGTTGGATCCAGCAACACCCAGACTCCTCTCTGAAAAGTTTAGAAAGCCAGGGGTTCCTCTCTGCACCTCATGATTCAGCGGGAGTTTCTAAACTTTGTCTGAAGCTCCCACTCTGCCCAGCACAGCATGGCTATCTGCCTGGTTTTAGAATGGGGGGGGCCACAAAGGACACGGTGGTCAGCAGAACCCCCAGAACTGGGGTCCCAGGCAGGGGATGTAGCTCAGTGGGAGAGCGCTTGCTTCGCATGTAAGAGGCCCTGGGTTCAACCCCCAGCATCTCCAGTTCTTTTTTTCCTCCTCAAACCCACCTCCTCCATGGGCCAGTGATAACAAACTTGCATCTACCTCTGGAAGGGCTCCCCAAAGGTGAGGAATGCACCATGGCAGGGCTTCCCCCTGAAGCTGCAGTGGCAGCATGGCCTCCACTGCTCTGACAGCTATTTCCCAACCCAGGACTGAACCAGACCTGGCCATGGCTGAGCTGTGCTTGTGCCCATGGGCATTGGGCAGCACTGTCCTCCTGGAAGTGCTGGGGCCATCCCATCCCAGGGGCCACCCAGCTAGGGAGGCTGCCTTTGCCCTGTGTGCTGGGCAGTGTCTCCCCACCCTTGCCCTGACACCGTAGAGGCCATGCCTGGCCAGAGGTGCACAAAAGGAGGGGTCATGCAGGAGCTGAGCCCAGAGTCCACAAGCCCACCCAATGCAAGAGCACTGCCCCTTCCCAGTCCATTGCTCTCCAGGGAGAAAAATCCTGAGGGAGGGGTCAGGCACCCTGACACCACACCCCATCTAGCCATGGGTAAAACCTGTCACTCTGAGCAGGATTTGAACCTGCATAGGGAATCTCTACTGGATTTCAAGTCCAACACCTTCACCCCTGAGCCATCACTGCCTGCCATTCAGGTGGTGACAAATGGGCACACCCCACTTTGCCTCAGGTAATGCCATCCCCCAGCCTGGTGTGAGGCTCTGCTCAGCCCCAGTACCCACACCTGGAGGGTTGGGAAAAGGGAACATACAGGAATATTCACTGATGGCTGGAAAAAATTCAGGTGCTTTGGCCATGAGACAGGCAGCACAGGAAAGCATCCTCCAAGGATGCCCAGGGATACAGCAGCTCTCCTAAGGGAAAATAACATGGAGATGCTGGGGGTTGATCCCAGGGCCTCTTGCATGCAAAGCAAGCGCTCTCCCGCTGAGCTACATCCCCCTGTGCAAGGTGGGGAGATGGCCTGCCTGAGTCCCCTCATCCCTGGGGCACACATTGCCAGCTTTGGGGGGTCCGTCTTGCCCACCCAGCCAGGAAGGGGCACCCAGCCCTCTGTGCCAGAGCCCTGGTTATGCTGCAGTCCCATGTGCCAGCCAAAGAAGTTAGGTGCCCAAAGGGTGGGCTCATTGAGGAGCTGAATCCAGGACCTCTCACACCTTAAGTGAGAATCATGCCCCAGATCTGTGCCCCCCAATTCTGGGAGTTGAGGAGGGTGGCTGATGTTGCCTTTTGTCCCTTGGCACAGCCCGCAACAATGAAATCATCTTATGGTGCCCAGGAGGTGGGACTGGCATTTGGAGGTGTCCATGGTGCATAACTCCCCTGGATCCAGTGGCGACAGGGGCAGGTGGACCATGAAGACAGCGGGGACTCTTGGGCACCACCCTGCCCTTGCACAGGGGCACGTATCTCAGAGGGAGAGCACTTGCTTTGCATGCAAGAGGCCTTGGGATCAACCCCCAGCATCTCCATGTTATTTTGCCTCTCCAGACCCCTCCCTGTTGTTTGTGGTGCTGGCAGAGCCCCCCAAAGATCCCCCCAAAAACCACTGGTACTGCCTGAGGGCATGGCAGGCCCAGGAGTGGGGGACAGCTGTGGTGCACAAAGTGTGCCACACCCCATGCCCTCGAGCTGCCCCACTCCTCCTGCCCAGCCCCAAGCTGCAGTCACTGGAGGGGAACAATGGGAAGACCCCAGAGGGGTCTGTACCTCCAGAGAAAAACGGGACAGGCTCTGACCAAAGCAACAATTCCTCTGGGAGTGAGACCCATGTCTCATCCGACCTTAAGGTGGAAACACACTGCAAACAAACTGCCCTATTGGATTTCGACTCCAACGCCTTCACCCCGCGGCCGTGTCCCAGGCGGGGAAGAGCGGTACCTGTGGTGGGGGCAGCGCCCGGAGGTGCGGGTGTCCGGGATGTCTGGGGTGCGATGTCGCGGCGCTGATGCCGCAGTGTCCCGGGGGGGCTCCGGGCGCGGGCCGTGCGCAGGGAGCGGCCCCGGCCCGGGGCCTCCGGGCAGCGGCGCCCGCGGAGCGGCCGGGCAGGGCCAGGCGAGGGCGGGGCGCAGGACGTCTCAAACACCCCGGCTCGTTGGTCCAGGGGTATGATTCTCGCTTAGGGTGCGAGAGGTCCCGGGTTCAAATCCCGGACGAGCCCTTCTTTTTCCACACTATGCCCACAACTCTACACGCTGCAAACATGCCCTCACATTCCCACTCCCACTCCCCACCTCCAGCCGGACCACGCAGTCCTGCCCCCTGCACTCTGCTCCTTACATGGCCTCGGGCCTGCAGCATCACCTCCCTGCTCTGCCCCACACTTCTGCCCCGTGCTCCAACCTCCTCACCGCCCCAATGACACCCAAGGGACCCGCAGTGCCTGCAAAGCCCTGAGCGCCCTTTTCCCAGCTTGGGCAGCAGGGGAAGGCAGCAGATGCGGCATTTTCTCAGACAGAGAACACCAGGGCACACCTTGTGCCAGGGGGGTGTAGCTCAGCGGGAGAGCGCTTGCTTTGCATGCAAGAGGCCCTGGGATCAACTCCCAGCATCTCCATGTTCTTTTGCCTCTCCAGGACCCCTCCACATACAGGGCTGCCAGAGACTCCCCAGATGCCCCACAAGAAATCCCTGGGGCTGCCTGTGGGCACGTCTGACCTGGGATTGCCCCTTGGCACCCCAAGGCAGGCAGCAAGCAAATGCCTGCCGAGATCTCCCTCCTTACCCTGATGCTATAGAGTATCGAGACACCCAGAGTCCCTTCCCCACGGTGCTCACAGTGTCTCTTGGGGTGACTATTGTCTTTGTTTGATGATTTGTGATGGGAGGGAGCAGCCAGAGGTGGAGATGAGACTAAAGTTGTCACCTCAGGGCAGTGTAGGGTGGCAGCTGGAACAGCTCTGCCAGGGCAAGGGGAGGGGGCAGCATGTCCCTGTAGGATCTGGGGACGGCCAAACCAGTTGGTGGTGCTTACAAGATGTGTTGGGCTCCTTGTGCCAGGGCCTTGGGTTAGCACCGGGAGTGTTCCCAGCAGCAAAAATAGATGGTGTTTGCATCTGGGGAGCCCCAAACAAGTGGGCAGAGAGGTGGGCAGGTCAGGTGTTTTAAGGAGCACCCAGTGTCAGCAGGGCCAGTGTGTGCCATGGCTCAGCTGGTCAAAGTGCCTGTCTAGTAAACAGGAGATCCTGGGTTCAACTCCCAGGGGTGCCTCAACCTGGGGGAGTATTTTCCTCCCTGTCCCAAACTGGGGGCACTGCTGGGCATCCTTGTCCTGCTCTGAGGCACTGTCAGTCCCCAGTTCTCTGTCCCCCGTGACTCTACTCTGGGGATGAAATGTTTCCTTCTGCTTCCCCTCCCTTCACATTGGAGAGTTGTCCTAAACTATTTCCAGAAACCCGGAAATTTGGGAAATAAGAGATACAATAGATGATGTCTGGACCCCTCCCATCTTCCCTATTACTTTGCACAACCGGTGTGGAATCACGTAGGAAAACCCAGTAGACACAGGTTGGGTGTGGGTGCATAATGGAGATGCCTGGTGCACACGTTTTTGTGGCAACCATAAATACCACGTTACCCTTTGCCTCCCCATGGACACAGAAGGGAACAGGGAGAGGGGCAAATGAATCACAAATGCTTGCTTGTCTCCCTGTCCTGCTGTGACAGGGGCTGCCAGGGCTCTGCCTGCCCAGAATTGCTCACCAAAGGACACCCTGAAGAACCAGCTGCAGTATTGCTGTGGGCAAGAAAGGACCAAAAAAAAAAAAAATCTGTTAAAACAAATTTTGCTAAAAAAAACCAAAAAAACCTCAAAAAAACCCAAAACAAAACACCAAAAAAACAAATGCCGATGCGCTCTTCTCCCTGATACGGAGCCTGTCTTGCGGAGGGTGTCGTGACGTCCACGAGGTTAAATCCACCGGTCTTTCAGGGCTCGGTGGTCCTCTGTCCGTGTTGTCTGATGCTTTCAAGCCTCACGGCTGGGCGCCACAACTGCCGATGTGCTCTTCTCCCCGATACCTTTCCCCTTCCCCGGCTAGCTTTGGGGAGAAGGGCAGGCAGGTTTCTAGCGCTTCCTGCTGGACCTCGCAGGGCTTTAGGACGCGCTATCGGAGTTCGGAGAACATTCAGCGACCCCACGGCGAATTATGAAGCGAGTCCCTCTCTGGGGGCAAATTCCATTTATTGTACTTCAATGGGGAATACAATAATTCGAAGGGAACCAGGCGTGCCGTGCCAGCATTTGCCGGAGCGGCGCGGGCAGGGCGGAGCGTGCTGGAGCCACGCAGACAAAGCGCGGAGCGCGCCGCGCAAACGAACTAAATACGGATCCGGGGAAAAACCGGGCAGCCAATGGGGTAAAGCCACGGGGGGTTTGAGGGTAGTGGGATACGGGGGTACATCCAATGAAGGACGGACAGGGGAAGGGTCCTGGGTCCTCTACCTATCACCCGGCGTCCCAGGTGGAAGATTCCAGGTGGAGGGGAAGGGACACAGAGTGGCAGACAGGCATTTGGGGTAAACAGGGGGGGTGACTCGGCATTTTTGGGGACAACGGACTCGTGGGGAGAGACGGGAAAACCCGGGGAGAACTTTTACAGAACCAGGGGTACATGGAACAAACCTATACATAATACAAATGTAATACAATATAAAAAACACAACTCCACATCTCCCTCTTTTTTGTTTAAAGAGAAAAGAACGGAAAATAACTTAAATGGGGGATTCGCAGTCGTGCTCCCCATCGTCGAACCAGATGTCCTCTGGGTGTTCTTCTTGGTCTTTTTCTAGATGTTCGGCATTGAGCGGTGTCAGCTCTGATGGGGAGGCGAGGACGGCGTGGTTGATATGAATGGTGGAGTTGATGGCCTTTAGATTAAATTTTTAACAACACTAAAACCAATAATAAAAACAATGAGTGCTAACAGCAACACAAGTCCAGTTTCCAAAATGGATTGGATCCAACCCGTGAGTCCCCATCCTTCAAAAGCGACCTCAGCCAGTCACTTGCGAG